CCGCCCGCATCTCCATCGCCGCCATCAGCGCCGCCCTCGCCGCCCGCATCTCCATCGCCGCCATCAGCGCCGCCTTCGCCACCCTCGCCGCCCGCATCTCCATCGCCGCCGCCCTCGCCGCCCTCGCCGCCCTCGCCGCCCTCGCCGCCCGCATCTTCATTGCCGCCGTCAGCGCCCCCTTCGCCGCCCTCGCCGCCCTCGCCGCCCGCATCTCCATCGCCGCCGTCAGCGCCACCCTCGCCGCCCTCGCCGCCTTCGCCGCCCGCATCTCCATCGCCGCCGTCAGCGCCACCCTCGCCGCCCTCGCCGCCCTCGCCGCCCGCATCTCCATCGCCGCCGTCAGCGCCACCCTCGCCGCCCTCGCCACCCTCGCCGCCCGCATCTCCATCGCCGCCGTCAGTGCCACCCTCGCCGCCCTCGCCGCCCTCGCCGCCCGCATCGCCATCGCCGCCCGCATCTCCATCGCCGCCGTCAGCGCCGCCCTCGCCGCCCTCGCCGCCCTCGCCGCCCGCATCTCCATCGCCGCCGTCAGCGCCACCCTCGCCGCCCTCGCCACCCTCGCCGCCCGTTTCTCCATCGCCGCCGTCAGCGCCACCCTCGCCGCCCTCACCGCCCTCGCCGCCCGCATCTCCATCGCCGCCCTCAGCGCCACCCTCGCCGCCCTCGCCGCCGTCGCCGCCCGCATCACCATCGCCGCCGTCAGCGCCACCCTCGCCGCCCTCACCGCCCTCGCCGCCCGCATCTCCATCGCCGCCGTCAGTGCCACCCTCGCCGCCCTCGCCGCCCTCGCCGCCCGCATCTCCATCGCCGCCGTCAGCGCCACCCTCGCCGCCCTCGCCGCCGTCGCCGCCCACATCACCATCGCCGCCAGCAGCGCCGCCCTCGCCGCCCTCACCGCCCTCGCCGCCCGCATCTCCATCGCCGCCGACAGTGCCACCCTCGCCGCCCTCGCCGCCCTCGGCGCCCGCATCTCCATCGCCGCCGTCAGCGCCGCCCTCGCCGCCCTCGCCGCCATCCGCGCCGCCCTCGCCGCCCTCGCCGCCCGCATCTCCATCGCCGCCATCAGCGCCGCCCTCGCCGCCCTCGCCGCCCGCATCTCCATCGCCGCCATCAGCGCCGCCCTCGCCGCCCTCGCCGCCCGCAACACCATAGCCGCCAACAGCGCCGCCCTCGACACCCTCGCCGCCCGCAACTCCATCGACGCCGTCAGCGCCACCCTCGACACCCGCAACGCCCGCACCGCCTACGTCGCCCTCACCGCCAGCAGCGCCAACGTCGCCGCCCGCATCTCCATCGCCGCCCTCAACGCCACCCTCGCC